GTGGGGGAGGTTCGGCTCGGCAGAGTGGACACGCCAGTTGCTCAGGGACCAATAGAGAGCGGTGAAAGACCAGATGTACCCGCATGGAACGTGGCAGAATTAAGCGATAGGCGACCGGATTGATGACAGCCTCGATGGGGAATGGTCCTACATATCGGTGGTCTAATTTCTTGACTGGCCGGGTTGACGGTAGGTTCCTGGTGGACAGCCATACCCGGTCTCCCACTGCTAGTAGAGGCGTATCCCACCTCGACCGATTAGCAAACCTTTTGTAGTCAGCCTTGGCCTTCTCCAACTGTTGCTGCACCAATCGATGGATCGCCTGTAACTCTGCCTTGTAGTCGTTCGCTGGTGGTCCCGGTGTGTCTAATGGGGAAAGAGGGAAAAACCGAGGGTGATAGCCCACATTGGCTAAGAATGGGGTCATCTGCGTGGAGGTGTGCTGGGAGTTATTGAACGCAAACTCAACCACCACCAGATAGTCCACCCAATTGTTCTGCTGCTGATTGACATAGCAGTGCAGATATTGTTCCAGGATTCCAATGACCTTCTCGGTCCCTCTGTCAGTTTGGGGATGATGTGCGGACGAGAGGCAGATCTTGACGTCTAACCCCTGCCAGAAACGGGCTGTGAACTGGGCCCCCCTATCAGACACGACCCTATCAGGAAGACCATGTAGCCGAAACACCTGCTGGATGAAGATGCGACCGGTGGCGCGGGCAGACGGCAAGCCACGGCATGGGATGAAATGCACCATCTTGGTTAGCATGTCCACCACCACAAACACCGTTGTGAATCCAGAAGACGGGGGTAAGTCCGTCAGAAAGTACATGAACACAGCCCCCCAGGGTCGTTTGGGTGTCGGCAAGGGCTGCAGTAGTCCGGTTGGGGCCCCTGTCGCTGACTTGGCCTGCCTACATGAAATACAAAAGGAGACGTAGGTCTGAACGTCGTGTCGGATTCGGGGCCACCAGAAGGTATGGGAGACCAAGTTCAGGGTCTTGAACAAGCCAAAGTGCCCCGCCGCCGGATTGTCATGACACTGGCTGAGGATGAGTCCCCTGAGCGGGCCCCCAGGAACATAGAGCCGATCACGATAGTGGAGGAGTCCATCCGTGAATGTCCATGGGGAATTGGACCCCACCTCCTCCTTTCGCTGAGCCTTCCAACCATCCTGCTGCTGGGCCTCCCAAATCCGAGCCCGTACATCTATCGGCTCCCGCACCGCAGCAAAAGACTCGATAGGGAGCACTGGGCAGAAGCTTGTTTTCTGCTCGGGAATATTCGGGCTTCCTGGACAGAGCATCTGCTCTTTGATTGTGACCGCTGGGTACATACGTCACCCGGAAATTGAACCTCGCAAAGAAGAGAGACCACTGGATCTGGCGTTGGTTCAATTTCCGAGCGGTCTGCAGGCTTTCTAAATTCTTATGGTCCGTCTGGACCTCAATTTGATGACGCGCCCCTTCCAGATGATGCCTCCAGGCCTCGAATGCCACTTTAATGGCCAATAGCTCCTTCTCCCAGATGGTATAGTTGCACTCCGCCGGATTCAATTTCCGTGAAGAGTACGCGCAAGGGAAGAGGGCACCACCGGGCATCGTCGCCTGGAGTAACACCGCCCCAATGGCAATGTCAGAGGCATCCGCCTCCACGACAAATGGCCGTTGCGGGTCAGGATGCTTCAGGATGGCCTCCTTCATGAAGGCTTCCTTCAAAGCCTGGAAAGCCCATTGTTCTGGAGCGTCCCACTGGAACCGAGTCTTTTTCTGCAGGAGCCGAGTGAGGGGGGCTGTCATGGTAGCAAACCCGGGGATGAAAGCCCGGTAATAGTTGGCGAACCCAAGAAGTCGCTGGACATCCTTCACACGACGTGGGGGTTGCCAACTCTGCAAAGACTCAACTTTACTCGGCTCCATGGCGATGCCCTCAGGAGAAATACAGTGACCCAAGAACTCTATAGTCGTCTTGTAGAACTGACACTTCTCTAATTTAGCATACAGCCGATGTTCTCGGAGTCGCTGCAGGACCTGATGAAGATGCTGATGATGCACCTCTTGCGATGAGGAATAGATCAAGATGTCGTCCAGGTATATCACAACGAACTGATCTAACAAGTCCCGGAAAATATGATTCATAAAGTGCTGGAACACGGCAGGGGCGTTAGTCAGGGCAAATGGCATCACCGTGTACTCGAAGTGCCCATACCGAGTACCAAACGCTGTCTTCCACTCATCACCCGACCGAACTCTGACAAGGTTATAAGCTCCACGCAAGTCCAGTTTTGTGAAGATCTTTGCCTCACGGAGCCGGTCCAAGAGTTCGGGGATGAGGGGTAGCGGGTATCGGTTGCGCACCGTGATGGCATTCAATTTCCGATAATCACAGCACAGCCGCAATTCACCGGACTTTTTCTTGACAAAGAGTACGGGTGTGGACACCGGCGAGGACGAGGGCCGAATAAAACCCCGGGCCAAATTCTTGTCCAAAAAGTCCCGCAACGCGGCCAACTCGGGGTCCGACATGGAATACAAACACCCCACTGGGAGAGGCGCATCAGGGACTAAGTCAATGGCGCAGTCATAGGGCCTGTGCAGGGGCACTTGATCCACCTCCATCTTGCTGAACACATCAGCATAATCCGCCAATTCAGAGGGTAAGGAGACCCCCATGGGCCCCTCTACCTGACCGGCACAGATGTGGCGGGTGTGGTCCACGCACTGTAAGCTTGGAAAGGTGACCAAGTTCTGTGACCAATAAATCTGTGGGTCATGCATTCGAAGCCACGCCATTCCCAAGACCACAGGGAAATGCAGGTCTGAGGTGATATAAAACTAGATGGCCTCCTCATGGGTACTGATGGCCATACATAGCGGTTGCGTGGCAGCCTTAATTGGCCCAGACCGAAGCACTCGACCATCAATGGTCTCCACTAATATCGGTGGATCCACAGGGCATTGGGGAATCGCCCATTGAGCCACGAATGCTGCATCTATAAAGTTCGTAGTGGCCCCAGAGTCAATCAACGTATGGACAGGAATCCCCTTGGGCAACTTAGGAAGAATCAGGCGCGCCTCCAAGATCAAATGTTTTGGGGGTCCGTGGGCAGCATCAGAACGGTGTGGCTCAGAGGTGCAGGACACCCAACCCAAAAGGCCTTTCAGGTCGGGGGTGGGCCGTTTCCCAATAGGGGAGCCGATGGCAGTCTCGGGACAAGCTCCGTCACAGATGCCCCTCGTCGCTTCTTGGGGCAGAAAGCGGCCAAATGCCCAGGGTCCCCACAGTAAAAACACAACCCCCCGAATGTCGCCTGTTCATCTCTGCCACCGATAGACGAGGTCTGGCAGCACCTAACTCTATTGGCTCCTCCCTCTGGACCGGGGTCACATTCACAACGGGGGCCATACGGGTCTCTGGGATGGCACGGCGACTCCTTCGCTGCTGCAGCCGGGTGTCGATCCGCAGACAGAGATGAATAAGCCCAGTAAGGTCCGGGGGAATATCAACACGGGCCAGCTCATCCAGCATCTCCTCCGACAACCCATCCTGGAAAGCGTCCACGAGCGCAGCCTCATTCCAGGCTGAATCCTGGCTAAGCAGCCGAAATTCGCTGATATAGCCCTGCAGGGGGCATCGGCCTTGCCTCGAGCCTTCAAACGCCGGGTAGCTGTCTGGGTCTTGAGGGGTCTTCATACATTAACCACATGTACTCACAAAACCCCACAAAGTTGTCCATCAATGGACTAGGTTGGGCTAGCAAGGGTGTGCCCCAACGAGCTGCAGGACCAGAGAGCATACTTATCATAAACTCCACTTTATCCCGGTCAGTGGGGAAATCATCTGCTTTCACACTGATATACAAGCGGCATTGTCCCATGAAAACAGGAAACATGTCCAGGTTGCCATCAAATTTGTCCGGCCTCCCCACTTGACATTTTCTCCTGGGTGGTGGTGGAGCAGCAGGAACGTGGGCAGATAGCTGAGCAACTTGAGCAGATAACAAAGCCAGCTGCTGAGCAAGCTGGGCGTTCTCAGCATGTAGCTGCTCCATGATAGTAGGGGGTGAGGCTGAAGGCAAACTGTTCTATCCCAGCCTATTGCCGTCCTTGTTAGAGGCACAAGGACCAAACCCCTGCTGATACAATAGGCTGGAGACTTTAAAACAAAACAAAATCCCTTTTATTTGGGTGACAAACCTGTCAATAAGTCCAAAACACAAACAGCAAAAGTCAAGTCCAAAGGAAGGAAATAGTCCACCGGAACACGTTGCAAACAAGACGAAGAGACCAGGATTCCAAGAAGCACTTTGCAAATGGTTGCCTTCAGCAACCAGCAACGCCCACACCTCCCCTTTTTATACAGCAGTCCCAGGGCGTTGCCTCTCATTGCCTTCTCCTTTTACTTTGGAGTAGTCGCATAGACTGTTGTTGTTTTTCCCTTGCTAATTGACGACGCCTGCGAGCATCTATTAGCACATCCAGGTGTGAGCCTTCCGAATCTGACTCATGCTCCTCACACAGCTGAGCTTCATCAGAAACACGACTGGAGGGGCCAGGCTCTTCATCAAGCCGTGAGTCCTATAATTCATCAGAGCCTCCCTCTGACCCTGACGGCCCCTCAAAGGCCTCCTCCACCTCCTCCTCAGATTCCTCAGACTCAGCTGTTGGGAACACAGGCTGGCACGGAATCACAACAGGCTCTCCCTCCAGTTCTTATCATCTCTTATTTCACACACTAGTCCAGTATTATTATGTCTATCTACACTCTCATGTACATTCCCCCCCAGTGTCCTCTAACTCTAAAAGTAAAACATAAGAAGAAAATGGTTGCATCTCTAACTGTTGTCAAAGCAAAAACATCCAATGTTAGCAGCGTTGACACCTTATTTTCTATGATGAAATCTACTGCTTAACTCTTATGACTACTTTTTTTCTCTTAGCTGTTTCTTAAGTTGGATATAATAATATGTGAACTAGTGAAATCATTTTCTTTTCACACAGATAAAACTTCCTGCTATTCCACCAAGATACCCACGCAGAACTCACCAAGCTGTCACATCTAAAGAATTCCATGGAGGAAACCGACTTTATTTTCCTCCAATGTAAGTAATTTGCAATGCCAATTCCTATAAAAAGAATAAAAGAATAACAGAGTTGGAAGGGATCTTGGAAGTCCAACCCCCTGCTGAACCAGGAAATCCTATAGCAGTGATGGCAAATCTTTTAGAGACCGAGTGCCCAAACTGCAACCCAAAACCCACTTATCTATCACCGAGTCGGCATGGCTACGGTAGTAATGGCACAGTGGGTGAGCGTGGCCACCTCAATGTTGCTCCTAGGGAGGGATGCCTGTGGGGGTCACAGGGTTGGGGGAGATCCAGGGTGTCTCTGGTGGGTGGGGCAGTGGGCAGGAGACTCATCCTGCAGGTGAGGGAGGGGGCAGGGCAGGGGTGCCATTGCCATGGGGCAAGGCGAGGCAGGGGCCAGAGGCAGGGGCTCGTTGCAGACAAAGAGCTGCTCCTGTGAGGAGGAGGTGGAGGAAGAGGGTTTAAGCAAGCTTAGCAACTGGAGTGGGGATTCCCCCCAAAAAAACAAACGTGCTTCATGGGTACAACAGAAGAGACCAAAACATGCTGCAACCACCCAGCAGATGGGAGGGGAATAAAAACCAAACAGCCCCCTCTGCCAATTCTCAACAGAAATGCTCATGATAACGAAAGCCTTGGGGGGAAGAATGTAGGCAGGCAGCATCTTGCTCAGCTGATGGCTTGGGAGAGGGGGCAGCTACACCCCCTCCCAAATGCTGCCCTATCACGAAAGCAGGATGAAAACTCCAAAAAGTGACAAGGAAAAAAGTTAAAACAGAAGAGTGTCTCGTGATGGTTTTCTTCCCCACTTCCTTCTAGCTGCAGTTTAAATATGTAAAGACCACAAAAGAAAAAACTTGGCTTTCTCTTGTTTTAATTTAGAAGGCAGGAATGGGAGAATTTGGGGGGGGGGGTTGTTTGTGTCAAAGGAAGGGAGGAATGCTGGCTGAGGAATTCTGGGAGTTGAAGTCCACAAGTCATAAAAGGGCCAAGTTTGAAGCTAATTATAAGCTAATGTTTGGAAACACCTCCATAAGAGCTAGGTTTTGCATACACCCGTATGTTTGGGACTACATCACCCCGTTCCAGTCTGATCCCTCCTGAACATGGGTGTCCACTTAAAATTAGGGAGCTCCTAATTTTTCAGCCCTTCCAACGCAGCTCCTCTCCTTCATCAAACTGACACCCAACAGGACAGGAATTGCCTGCAGACAAAAACCGATGAAAGTCGAATTGGTTTTCAAGGCAGCTTAGTCAGGAAAAAGGTCCGAATACGCCCAGGTCAGTCAATCGTCTCAACAACTTAAACCAAACGCCGCATCTGAGTGGCCGCTATGCCACTTCTTTGCTTACTGAGCCCGGGAGCCCTTCCCCCGGGCTTAAAAATCTCCTGGGCTAGCCTGACAAATGGCTTTCCCAACAACTGGAGGATGGAGCTCCCATCATCCACAGCCAGCCATACCTCCGGCATGCTCACTGGCAACGGCACTGGAAAATCAGTCCAAAGGCAGCCGGTCAGTTAGCTTCAATTCTCAAAGCTCGTAGCTTTGGATGGAGAAAGTCCCCGCACAGTGGCTGAAGGACCAGCATCCAGCCGGACCAACCGCAAGCCCTTGGGGGCTCCGGCACCCAAATGCAACTGACCGGTTGATCCCCCGAGTCAGAGAAGTCGTCATTTGCATCACGCACTGAATCACGAGCCTGGGAAGGGGGTTGACCGCAGGGGAGACAGACAGACCGACCCCCCATGTCTGCCGCCGCCACCCCTTGCCCGGGCTCTGCACCGGCCCACTCACCTCCAGAGCTTGCCCAGCATCTTGCTGAGCTCAGCGTTGTGCAGGTGCGAGTACTGGTCGGCCTGCACGCTTCCTGCGCCCAGACCATGAAGGCGTTCCTGGGCCGCTTGACATGCGGCTTGGCCTTCCGCGCCCCGTGGCCGCACAATGGCATGGGCACCAGGTTCCAGTCATAGCCCTTCAGCACCTGCAAGATGGCATCCCGGATGCAGGCAGGGAAGCACTCGGCCCTGCTCGGCTTTGCCTGGCTTAATCAGAGCCCGCCTGGGCCACCGCTGCCATTGCCATGCACAAGGCTGGGCACCTAACTTCTACCCAGTCCCTGGATGAGGCGAAAGGGGCCAGATCCCAATCTCCCCACCCAACCCTGCTCTCGCTGGCTGGCTGGCTGGCTGGCTCTTCTCTCCTGCCTGGCTTACCAGAGCCTGCCCGAGCCACTGCTGCTTCCGCCGCCATTGCCGTACATGAGACTGGGCAGCTAACCTCTCTTCGGTCCCTGGATGAGGTAAAAGGGGCCAGAGCCCAAACCCCTCCACCCAACCCTGCTCTCACTTGCTGGCTGACTAGTTCCTCAGTTCTACCTAGCTTACCAGAGCCTGCCTGGGCCACTGCCGCCGCCACCATTGCCGTGCACGGGGCTGGGCAGCCAACTTCTCCCCAGCACCTGGACGAGGTAAAAGGGGCCAGATCCCGATCCCCCCACACAACCCTGCTCTCGCACGCTGGCTGGCTGGCTCGTCCTGACTGGCTTACCAATGCCTGCCCGGGCTGCCACTGCCACCACTGCCGCTACCATTGCCGTGCATGAGGCTGGGCAGCTAACTTCTCCCCAGCCCCTGGATGAGGTAAAAGGGGCCAGACCAGATCCCCACCCACTCAACCCTGCTCTGGCTGGCTGGCTCCTCAGCCCTGCCTGGCTTACCAGAACTTGCCCAGGCCACTGCTGCTCCTTCCACCATTGCCGTGCACGAGGCTGACAGCTAACTTCTCCCCGGCCCCTGGATGAGGTAAAAGGGGCCAGATCCCGATCCCCGCACCCAACCCTGCTCTCGCTGGCTGGCTGGCTCCTCCTACCAGAGCCTGCCTGGGCCACCGCTGCTGCTGCTGCTGCCGCCACCATTGCCATGCACGAGGCTGGGCAGTTAACGTCTCTCCGGCCCCTGGACGAGGTAAAAGGGCCCAGATCCCGATCCCCCCACCCAGCCCTGCTCTCACTGGCTGGCTGACTGGCTCCTCTCTCCTGCCTGGCTTACCAGAGCCTGCCTGGGCCACCACTGCTGCCGCCGCTGTCACCACCATTGCCGTGCATGGCAGCTAACTTCTCCCCAGCCCCTGGATGAGGTAAAAGGGGCCAGATCCAGATCCCCCCACTCAACCCTGCTCTCGCTGGCTGGCTGGCTCCTCAGCCCTGCCTGGCTTACCAGAACTTGCCCAGGCCACTGCTGTTCCTTCCGCCATTGCCAAGCACGAGGCTGGCAGATAACTTCTCCCCGGCCCCTGGATGAGGTAAAAGGGGCCAGATCCCGATCCCCCCACCCAACCCTGCTCTCGCTGGCTGACTGGCTCCTCGGCCCTGCCTGGCTTACTGGAGCCTGCCCAGGCCGCTGTCACTGCCATTGCTGTATACGGGGCTGAGCAGCCAACTTCTCCCCAGCCCCTGAACGAGCCCTCTCCCAAACATTGCCACTGCTGCCACTACCGCCACCCCTGAAACTCACCACTGGTTGCTGATGCTCACTCGCTGTGCTGTCTGCACCAAATGCTGCTCCTGCCAAAACTTGCTCCTTTTATAGCCTCTCCCCACCTAGCTCTTGCAGCTGTTCCCGGATTCTGCATGTGCGGAGAGGGGGAGGGGAGCAGCCCAGCCCTGTGTCCCTCTGTGGCAATGGCGCACGTGCCAACAGGGATGGCTCTGCATGCTGCCTGTGGCGCGTGTGCCATAGGTTCACCACCATGGTCTTATAGCATTCCAGGCAAATGGTTTTCCAATCTCTTATTAAAAACCTCCAGTGCTGGACTACTGATTAATTGTTCTGTCAGGAAATTTCTCCTCAGTACTACCTTGGTTATCTGCTTGATTAGTTTCTATCCAGATGCATTGGAGAATAGAACATACAACATAGAATAATAGAGTGGATGGGACCTTGGAGGTCTTCTAGGCCAACCTTCTGCCTGAGTAGGAGACCCTATACCATTTCAGACAATGGTTTGAAAGCCTTAAGTGATGGAGCACCCACAACTTCTCAATGCAAACTATTGTATTACAGGTAATCCCTAAGTTACAAGCATTCACTTAATGCTCATTTGAAGTTACGCAACAAGTGACCCCTAGTATTTATGAGCAAGTCCCAAAATCACGAATATTATAGCACCACAGCAGTTGTTCGCCCTTACGAACAATCGCAGAGGCTCTGCAACATTCACCCTATTTCCCCCTCCACTCCCCACAATTGCTTCCCTCTCTCTTCCTGCCATGCCAGATACACTCACCTTGCAAAATCTGTCTCCTCTCTGCCACGGTTATTTTTCCTTTGAGGGAGAGGAGAGTCGACTTGAAAATGCTTTTTGGGCCGACAATGGAAGCTCCTGGGTGCCGTAATATCACTCCAAACACAAATTCTCTGCAAAAGACATCATGGCCCCCAGAAGTTTCCATTCTGGGGGGGGGATTGTTTGTTTCCTTTGCATGCCGATGGGGCATAGTGTGTAATCGAAGTTGGCTGGGCGCAGGAACCAATGCTATCCATTGCTGGGTGTGCTGCTCACTCACATGCACTGGACTTAGTTTGAGGGCAAAAACGAAGCCTTCAGTTGAGCAGGGAGGCATTGCGGAGCCAGGCCCCTTGTACCTGCATCCAAGCAACTGCTGGCAATGGGAGTATCCCCTAAGCAGCCATGGTTCCCCCTTCCCCAGCCAGCCAACCATCCCACTTGACCTACTTCTTGTCTGACTGGCCAGCTGGTACAAATCCTGACCGCTCTTCTCCATGTCGTCCTCCCCACTCAAGCGGCAGCAGCGGCTTGAGTTTCTCGACTCTGTCCAAACGATAAAAGCAGAAATGCAGCAAAAGGATTGCTCTCAAGAAGACCCATGTGCATTCGTGTGCGCCAGCCATATTGGGAGCAATCCCGCTGCTGTGCCTCTGATTTCCACTCGGATGGAGCCGAAAAAGTCAAGCTGCTGCCACTACTTAAGTAGGGAGGCCTGGCAGGCATTGA